ATGGGCCAAATTCCTATAGAGAAAAGAACATGATGTGGGAAGAATTAGCTGATGTTAGAGGTCTATGGGAAGAACCTTGGTGTTTAGGAGGTGAATTTAATGTGATAAGATATGTGGATGAATCAATTAGAGGAAGACAGAGAGTTACCTCGAGTATGAGGAAATTCAACAACTTTATTGAGGACTTTGAATTAAGAAACTTCCCACTAGGTCAATCCTGTTTCACTTGGTCCAATCTCCAGGCTAACCCAATTTGCTCAAGACTGGATAGGTTTTTAATATCTCCTGATTGGGAAGAACATTGGGAGGAGTTGAGGGGAAAATCATTACCTAGAGTCACAAAAAATGATTGGCCAATCTGCTTGTTTCAAAGAGCCATTGAGGGAGGCCCTTCTCCCATTAGGTTTGAGAACATGTGGCTCACCCATCCGGATTTTAAGACAAAGGTGAAGGAGTGGTGGGATCCCCATGTGCCACAACCTATATGGGAAGGGCAAAAGTTTTTGAGGAAGTTACAATGATTGAAAGGGGAAATAAAATAATGGAATAGGGTGAAGTTTGGAAGACTAGAAGAGAAAATGGCAGCCTGATGCACAAATTAAGGAAATTGACAAGAAAGAGCCCCAAGGTGTGATAAAAGGTCATGATAGAGAAAGAAGATGGTCTCTGAAGAAGGAATTAGAGGATACCTTGTTGAGAGAGGAAATTAGTTGGAAGCAAAAATCAAGAGAGAGATGGATTAAAGAAGGCGAAGGCAACACTAAGTTTTTTCGTGCTTTAGCAAATTGCAGAAAGAGGAAGAATTTAGGCTATGTTTGGTTTGAAGGAAAAGGTAGGGAAATGTAGGGAAACCTTTACAAATCTTGTATAGGTTTCCTTACCTTTCCCTACCTTTTCCTTCAAACCAAACATAGCCTTAATTTCTTCTTTAGTAATGGGGGGGACTGAAATTACAAATCAAGAAGAAACTGCTAAAACCTTTGCTGATCATTTTAGATCAATAATTGGTAGGCCAATCACAGAGAGATGGGGTTTGGGAGGATTGGAATGGGGGAGTTTGGAAGAGAATCAAGTGGAAGCCTTGGAGAAGAGGTTTGAGGAAAATGAAGTTAAGGAATCCATTTTTTCTATGGATAGATATAAAGCTCTTGGGCTTGACGGTTTCACTATGGCCTTCTATCAAGATTGTTGGGAGATAATTAAGAATGATTTGATGAAAGTGTTTAGGGAATTCCATAGAAAGGGAGTAATCAATCCAGGGATTAACTCAACTTTCTTAGCTTTGATTCCAAAGAAGTGGAACTCAACTTTCTTAACTTTGACCCAAAAGAAGCAAGGTGCCACCCAGCCAGGAGACTTCAGACCTATAAGCTTAGTGGCCAGTATTTATAAGGTAATTGCCAAGGTCCTTTCTCTGAGGCTTAAAAAGGTGCTCCCTCTCTCATCTCCCAATACCAAGGGGCCTTCGTCCAAGGTGTGGAGGCTCAAAAAAGGTTAAAGAGGAAGGGAGTGGCAATAAAGTTGGACTTGGAGAAAGCCTATGATCTTGCGGATTGGGACTTTTTGATCACTATAATGAGAAGGTGTGGTTTTGGGAACTTAAGGTGTAAGTGGATCAAAGGATGCTTGCAAACAAGTCACTATTCTGTTCTAGTGAATGGCACTGTAGTTGATTTCATTGAAGGGAATAGAGGCCTTCGACAAGGAGATCCACTCTCTCCCTTTTTATTTACTTTGGTAGCTGAGGTCTTGAGTAAACTGATTTCAAAGGCTAACTCTATGCAACTGATCAAAGGTTGGTCAGTAGGGAGAGATAGAGTTTTGGTCTCACATTTGCAGTTTGCAGATGGTACCCTGATTTTCTGTGAAGGGGAGAGCAGTGAAGATGTGGAAAACTTGAAATTAGTTGTGAACTTGTTTGAAAGGATCTCCAACTTGAGAATCAACTGGTCTAAGAGCCTAGTGGCTAGCATCAATTTGGAAGAGAGTGAGTTGAGAGATTTGGTTGCATTATTGGGTTGTGAGACTAGAGATTGGCCTTTGTGTTATCTAGGATTGCCCCTTGGTTGAAACCCTCAGTCAGTCAATTTTTGGAATCCAGTAGTAAAAAGGTTTGAAAAAAGATTGGCAAGTTGGAAGAGGAATTATGTTTCTTTGGAAGGGAAAATCACATTGATCAAATTCACCTTGGCGAATCTTCCAGTCTTTTTTAGAATGCCTCAAGCTGTGATAAGAAGAATTTGATTAGGTGGGAGAAGGTGAAGCAATTGAAAGGTGAAGGGGGTTTGGGAATTGGAAATGAAAAACTGAGAAATGTGGCTCTTTTGAGTAAATAGATTTGGAGGTTCCTTAAAGAAAATGAGAAATTGTGGACTAAAGTTATTTCAAGTAAGTATCCATGGGCAATCAAGCAATGATTGGGATGTGGGCTACTAGCAGAGAGCTACCTTGGCTGCACCCTGGAAGGCTATCCATGACATTCTTCATTTGTTTCTTCCCCATATAAGGTATGACTTGGCTTTGAGTCAGAAAATCAGATTCTAGGAGGACATCTGGATTGGGTACTCCCCCTTGTCAGAGTCTTCCCTTCTCTCTTTGCTCTTTCCAGACTCAAGGGTAAACCTATTAGTGATTTTATCAGCTCATCCTCTTCCTCTTCAAACTTGAGTTGGAATTTGGGTTTTACTAGAAATCTAAGAGAATTTGAAATTTCTAGTGTCTCTACCTTGGTTGACTTGTTGAATTCAGTAGTTTTGGGGGATAGTGTTTCAGATTCTAGAGTCTGGGCCCTCAATCAGTCAGGTTCTTTTTCTTGCAAATCCTTCTTGAACTCTCTTGTTGCCACTTCCTCCTCTCCTTCTTTCCATGTTAAGGAGATTTGGTTTCGGCCCATCCCTCCTAAGGTCAGTGCTTTCTGTTGGGAAGTTTTCCATAGTTTCCACCAACACCTGTGACTTGCTTCAGAGAAAAAGACCAAAGTGGTGCTTGTTCCCAAACTGGTGCTCCTTATGTAAGCTGAATGGTGAGACTGCTTTTCACCTCTTTATCTCCTATCCTTTTGCTAATTTTATTTGGGAGTGGTTTTCCTCTTTGTTTGGTTGCAGTTGGAATCCTCCTGCTAATCTGGAAGATCTTTTTAGCTCTAACATATTCAGGTGCTCTAAAAGGAGAGGCAAAGTGATGGGAAAATGCACTAGAGCAGCAATGGCTTGGACAATCTGGGAGGAAAGAAATCAAAGGATATTTGATGATAAGGAAAGAGGTAGAGATGCTGTGATTGAAGTGATAACTATAAGAGTGGCACACTGAGTGAAAACTTCGAAAATATTTGCAGATTTTAAAACAGATGGTTTCTTCAGATCGTGGGGAGCAATTGCTTCTAGAAGACCTATTGTAACTGAATTTTGGTCCCCTCCGGATGTTAGGTGGAAGAAACTAAACTTTGATGGTAGTTGTTTGGGGAACCCTGGACCTTTGGGCATTGGTGGGGTAATAAGGGAGGAGAATGGAAATATCATTGCTATGTTTTCCAGCCCTATCCAGCATGGTGATGTGGTAAATTCAGAACTGAATGCAGCAATATTTGGTGTTGAAAAAACTAAAGAGTTGGGGATTAACAGGTTGATTATTGAAGGGGACTCAAAAGTTGTTGTAAACTGGCTGAAAAAAGAGGAAGGAGCAATCTGGAGATTAAGAAATGAGTTCAGGCACTTTAAGCAGGCTTCTAAAGATATGGAAATTCACATAAGATGATTACGAGATCAGCTAATAGCATAGCTGATGGTCTAGCTAAGCAAGGAGTTCAAAGGCAATCTATGTTCTGGGCTATATTATAGATAGTGGGACTTCCTTTGGGGGAGTTCACATCTCCGTCCCACAGCACATCCCCACTGTGTATTGAGAGTATCTCCCGACAATGTACTAGAACTGATGATGATGATGTCATTATCGGAAAATGTTTCCAATACACGGCGGGGATGTGCTGTGAGACGTTGTGGGGCGGCCCCTTGTGGGGTAGAGATGTGAACTCCCTTTGGGACTTGTTTGTAACTATAATGAATTACTTTGTTGGGTTAAGCTTGAGTCTGTATTACAATTAGTGGGGTTTATGTGATTCATCAAAAAAAATTAGTGGGGTTTACGTGGACTTTTTGTCTACCCACAACTTCTTGTTATACACATTCTATTAATTCAATGAATTTTTTCTGTGTTGCTGTTAAAAAAAATTTACCAAGTGTCTTCCACATCACCATGCGTTGGCGGACAGCGTGTGCCCCCAACCTATATAAAGGTAAATTCCAAAGCTTGGTAATGGGTCCCGGGCTGGTCTAATCAGATAGCATGCACCCAATCTGCACCAATTATTCCGCTTGCCCTCTCTGTCAGATAGTGGGTCCTGGGCTTTCTCCACGTATCCTTGACATGTCATTCGAGTCACTTGGACGTGTCTCACAAGATTCACCAAGTATCTCGTTGTCTCCGTAAATTCCAAAACGTGGTAGGTAGATTGCATTTACTGGTGAACTGCATTTATTGTCTTTGATTTACCTAAGACAGCTCGGCTAGGCTACTAAATTAAGCGTCGGAGTTCCAAGCCCAGGATACCACCCCGGGCCCTCTGACTTGCCTCTGGTATGCAGGTTTTCACCTTCAATCCGCACAGAGCCCCAGTCCGAGGAGCCTTTTAGAGTCAGCACTCTTTATTTGGTGACTTTGATCGTCATCAAAAACAAATCATATTCGAGTGAGGCCCTGATATCTTGATATTTCATGGGTTTGATGAACTAAGAATACAGTGCTATTTGCGCATCATATAAGACTTGCTCATGTTTTACTTTAATTTCAAATTTTTATTATAACAAATCATAGTATTCCCAATTGTCAAAGCAATCTTGAGAAGTCCTATGATTCAAATGAGAAGTCCTATAATTCAAATCTTTTACTCTTACCACCTTAAGATTTGTGATCAAAACCAGAGAGAGAGAGAGCAAGACGCTTACTTCCTAAGGTGTCGCCTGCCATACATAGAACAGTGAGGCCGTCGGTCCTCTTGACATGGAAAATATACCGATCCTGCGAGTATGATACATGGCTGTCGTTGGTGCCCGGGATCTTCTCCAGTATCTTTCGGGCGATATCGTTCGCGTTTGTCGACGTCGCACTGAATTCCGCCAAAACCACAGATCCTCTCGCAACCAGAGCATACAAAATTGCCATCTCTCTCTCTACTCAACAACAATGAATTAATAAAAGAAAATCCTCCTTTTTTCTTTCCTTGGCGAAATCGATTGACGAAGATTGACCTTGCTATCTATCTGAGTAGAAAAGATTCATCTCTGCGGAAGAAAACCTAGGGTTTCAATGGATTTGGGGAAGCTGAGCTCAATTAGCGGCGAATAGAGACAGAGAAGCTGCGGACACGGAAGAGTACCGAAGTTCCAAATTCCAACTGATCGATCGGACATCGGAGAGGGAAGAAGACAGGATAGCTAGAAAAACGTCGTTTTTTTATTGTTTGAAGGCTTTTGGGCTGAGCTGGATGCCTGGATCACAGTTATTGGCCGGCAACGACAAACATGGGTCGGTGCCTCGGTGGATAAATCAGAGACGTAGACAGTAAGTCAGAGCCCATGCCCATGCCCATTGAGGACGACGGTGGACCAATGAGTTGGGCTGACCTTGAAGCCCGAAAATGGTAGGAAACGGGTCAGGTACATCGGATCTGATCAGTGTTCAGTAATACAAATACAAAACAAATGGATCGAAATATGCCGACCCAACAAAAGAAAATCCGAGCCGAGACTTATAAGTGGTTCGAAATATGCCGGTCTGAACCGAGCAAAATCTGAATTAAAAACCGGTCCAGTGTGCTGTCGTGTACTTCTTTGTGAGTTGAGTTCCCTCCACGCTTTGTTTTGAAATGGACCCATTCGCTTCGCGCGTCCTTCGTGGTAGCTTCTCTGATTTAAATTCAAAGAGATGCATGTGTTTGTTTGGAAAGGAGTTAAGAGCATGATCTGTTTTCCTATTGAATATCATTTTGCCAAGAAATTGTTACTTTTTTCAATGTTTTCGAACACCTGGACGGTTGGACCATTCAGACCGGGAACCCATCCAGGCAACCGGTTTCGTTTTACCCAAATCCGGTCCCTGGTCAAAAACCATTAAATTGATCAATGACCCATTGACCCAAGCGATTGAACCATTGAGTTGTTTGACCCTTTCAATGATTTTTGACCGCTTTTTATTTTAATTATTTTAATTATTTTATTTTTTTGTCAGAATAGGCCGTTTGTTCAAACTGTCAACCCGAAAGCCGGTGGCCATAATGGTTCTAATTTCAGGTCAGTTTTTAAAACATTGCTTATTTTTTTCTTTCATTATACAAACAACTAAACACGACCTTAGATTGCAAAAACTAGTATTGCCAAATCTATTGGATCTTTCTCTCCATTCAGTTGGTTTGTTAAGATTTAAGAATCTTATCCGTGATAGGTTTTGTTGAATCAAATTTTGGCTAAGTACCTCGTCATTTGGTCTGCTTCCAAGTGGCCGATGACTCAGAGGCCAAAGTGGAGAACTTTTCCTGGATGAGGACCTAGATGCCAAGCTGGGGGCAGATTAGGTGCCGAGTTGACTGAGCGAAGCTGGGCAGGTTAGGTGCCAAATTGACTGGGCCGAGCTGGGTAGGTTAGGTGCCGAAATGACTGGGCCGAGCTAGGCAAGTTAGGTGCCGAACTGATTGGGCCAAGCTGACCAGGGGGTAGATTAGGTGCCGAGCTGACTAGGCCGAGTTGGAGGTAGATTATGCGGCGAGATGGGGGTAGGCTAGGTGCCGAGCTGGATTGATTGTTGAGCTTCGTAATTCTTTAGAGACCTACAAGGAATCAATGTCAGAGGACCCAGGGTGGCTAACTCGGCGAGGTCACTCCGATGCTTAAGTCAGTACTCTCATAGTAGACTGCGAGCTAAAAATCATAATGTATGAGAGCTAGAATATGCTTACTTGCCCCCCTCCATGCCATTGGGGTTGGTGCCTTTATATAGGCATTGTTTGGCGTGGGCTTCACGCACCGTACCCGAGATTTCCGAGAGGTCGCCTAAGTGGTCTGATATTCTCGGAGGCAACCGCCATGCATGTTGACCACCCTCCGGATCGTTCGGTATGTGGGCCAACTCTCAAGGATCGTGGGAGTGTTGGGATATGCATGCCGAATTTGTTGGCGAGCACGTCTCGCAGGTCGCCAATTCGGCGCCTGTGCCAAGTCACCAAGTCGGCGCCTGTGCCAGGCTGCCAGCTCGGCGCTTGTGCCAGGTCGCCAGTTCGGCGCCTGTGCCAGGCCGACAGCTGGGACACCATCCTCTTGGCTAAGGCAAGTTGTTGCCTAAGTGGTTCCGGATGTCACCTAGTTGTTCCGAGATGCCATGTGTCACAATGTCATTGGAGGGCCAAATCCGCCCTCATCATTTGCCCCCCCACTCCCAAGCTGAAAGTAACTCGGCGAAGGGAGTAGATTGCTCCTTTTGGCCTAGAATGACTAATTCGATGAGCTCGTAAGCATCGATCCAATTTGCTTCTCAGGTCGGAAGAGTCCAAGTGTTTGCAGCCTTGGGCTCTGGGAGCGACTCGCAGTCCATTCTCCTTACCCTTGATTTTGCCCATGTCGAAGAGGCGATTGGATCTTATGTGGTGCCGAAATCTTTTATCAGCTCGGTACTTCAGCCCTTGGGCTATGGGAGTGACTTGCAGTCCACTCTCCTTACCCTTGATTTTGCCCATGTCAAAGAGGCGACTAGGTCTTATGTGGTGCCGAGGTCTTTTATTAGCTCGGCACTTTAGAGTTACGACTGCGCTGCATCAGCCTCGTTAGTGACGCCGGTCACCCACTCCTACAAAAAGCTACTGGGAGCTCGACCTACTGGGGCAACACTACTGACTTTAAGTCACCAACTCGCGCGGGAGCCCTCAAAGGCTCGACCGGCAAGGACGTCCATGCAGTCCGTTGGCTGCCAACTCCCGCGGGAGCCACGAAGAGCTCATATTGTAGAGGGTACCTCGCGAAGAGGACTGGTGAGGCTTTATCCGAGTTGAAATAAAGTCGGCATAGCTGCTTAGTCTGTTGGCTATCAACTTCCTGGTTAGTCTTTGAGTTCATAAAAATGGAAATTAGAAAGTGAGAGCTTTAGTTTCTAAAAGATGAGAACTTGGCTTTCTAGAAGAAGAGGATTTAACCTTTCAGAAGATGAGAACTTAGCTTTTTGTAGTGTTTCCCACAGATGACGCCAATTGTTGAATCAATTTTTGGCTAAGTAGCTCGTCATTTGGTCTGCTTCCAAGTGGCCGATGACTCAGAAGCCGAAGTGGAGAACTTTTGTTGGATGAGGACCTGGATGCCGAGCTGGGGGCAGATTAGGTGCCGAGTTGACTGAGTCGAACTGGGCAGGTTAGGTGTCGAACTGACTGGGCCGAGCTAGGTAGGTTAGGTGTCGAACTGACTGGGCTGAGCTGACCAGGGGGCAGATCAGGTGTCGAGCTGACCAGGGGCAGATCAGGTGCTGAGCTGACCACGGGCGGATCAGGTGCCGAGCTGACCAGGTTGAGCTGGAGGCAGATTATGCGGGGTGGCTAGGTGCCGATCTCGGGGCAGGCTAGGTGCCGATCTAACCAGGCCGCCGAGCTAGATTGATTGTTGATCTTCGTAATTCTTTAGAGACCTGCAAGGAATCAATGTCAGAGGACCCGGGGTGGCTAACCCGGTGAGGTCGCTCCGATGCTTAAGTTAGTACTCTCATAGTAGACTGCGAGCTAAAAGTCATAAAGTATGAGAGCTAGAATATGCTTATTGCCCCCCTCCATGCCATTGAGGTTGGTGTCTTTATATAGGCATTGTCTGGCGTGGGTTTCACGGACCGTATCCAAGATTTCCAAGAGGTCGCCTAAGTGGTCTGAGATTCCCGGAGGCAACCGCCATGCACGTTGACCACCCTTCGGATCATTCGGTACGTGGGCCAACTTCCAAGAATCGTGAGAGTGTTGGGATATGCATGTCGAATTTGTCGGCGAGCACATCTCATAGGTCACCAGTTCGGCGTCTATGCCAGGCTGCCAGTTCAACACCTGTGCTAGGTCGCCAGGTCGGCGCTTGTGCCAGGCTTCCAGTTCGACGCCTGTGCCAGGTCACCAGTTCGGCGCCTTTGCCAGGCCGCCAGATAGGACACCATCCTCTTGGCTAAGACAAGTTGTTGCCTAAGTGGTTCCGGATGTCAACTAGTTGTTTCGAGATGCCATGTGTCACAATGTCATTGAAGGGCCAAATCCACCCTCATCAAGTTTCAAGATTAATCAGACAAGTTTTTTGTTAAGTCCTTTTACAAAGGAATAGTAGGTGATTTAGGGTAGAATTTTCCAACCAAGGCTGAAGTTCTTTGATTGAGTAGTACTTTGGAAAAATGACTAACTAAAGACACCATCCTCTTGGCTAAGGCAAGTTGTTACCTAAGTGGTTCTGGATGTCATCTAGTTGTTCCGAGATGCCATGTGTCACAATATCATTAGAGGGCCAAATCCGCCCTCATCAAGTTTCAAGATTAATCAGACAAGTTTTTTTGTTAAGTCCTTTTGCAAAGGAATAGTAGGTGATTTAGGGTAGAATTTTCCAACCAAGGCTGAAGTTCTTTGGTTGAATAGTACTTTGGAAAAATGACTAACTAAAGAGATGTTGATGAAGAAGGGTTTTGACATTTCAGATTTGGTGTGCCCTCTATATATGAGACCGAGACTTCAAACCAATTGTTCAAGCACTGTAAATGCTTGCCATCATTTACTCAAAGCCTTATGTCTAAATTGGTGAATGTCCAAGAAAGGCAAAAGTTGTTGGTTAGCCATTCATGCCACTGGCAATGCTGTGGGCTACTTTGGCATGATGAGAGGTGTTAGAGGATCTTATGGTTTGACCCAAGGTTTTAAATATCAGCACAGGTTGATAAGTTGGTATATGTGTCGGTGCTTTTTTTATGTTTTATTTTTTTTCAAAACTGGTTTAAAGGTATCAGTTTAAGTTTCAACTACTCTCTGAACCATCGTCTGACCCAATACAACCGGTTCCTTTCCCTACCTTTTCCTTGAAACCAAACATAGCATTAATTAATTGCGTGTATCTTTCCCCCATAACTATCAATTTTTAGTGTGGGATATTAAATATTTTCCTTCATTTTCAATTTTGGATGTTCCGACAATGCCTTCTCTGCTCCTCCAACACAAGAAATCTATACTACTATTGAAATTGGGAATGTGGTCTGGGTTTTGGAATATTTCTTGACTAAAATACCCTTATTGTTGAATTTGGTCTCTCTTTTTCATTACAGCAAAAAACATACTTTTAACTACTACTTATTTTAAATTTATCCTATCTCCTCTTATTCAGTCCTATATTTATATTTATGGTATTAACTCTCTTCCCCTCTTATTCAGTCCTATGCTTACTATATATTAATTAAATGAGCTTTGTGGACTTTTTTTTGACAAAAATACCTCTACTTAGGGGTATAAACAGATCTAATTCGAATCAGATCAGGTAA